CCAAGTTTATGGCCTTTGGTTTAGAGCAACCCAACTCCAATCTCTGCCTCTGTGCCATGTGGCCTCCCCTGTCTCTCTGAGGGTGCTCCTCTTATAAACACACCAGTCAGACTGACCTGTCTCAGCCTGGTTACCTGAAAAGCCCTGCTCCTAAAAAAGGCCGGAGACATGGGACTCAACCATGTCTGTTTTGGAGACGTGGAAATCACAGCTGCTTCCCTGATTTGTCACATACATTTCTGGACTGAGGTAGGAGCTTGCTTCTTTAGCTTAGCGCTTACCTTCTAAGAGCTTCTAAGAGAGGTAATAGCTTTTGTGGCTGTATTTCTAAAGACAGACAATCTGGTGCAATGTAATTAATGTAGTTTCCCATGGTAAAAACTTAGAAATAGCTTTAGTGTCCATTAGAAGGGGGTGAATTCAACAGTGCAAGGGAGTAGCATGCACCTGTGAAAAGGGATGGGGATCGGTGCTGTGTGCGCATATGCAAAGATCTGTCTAGGTCTACATGTGCTGCTGTAACAAAATGAAGTAAACTAGGTGGCTGTGACCAACAGAAATGTATTTTTCGCCATTCTAGAGAATGGGAGTCCAAGATCAAGGCTCTGGCAGATCTGGTGTCTCTCGAGGGCCTCCTCCTCTTGTGTCCTCGCACAGTGGGCAATGGAGAAATCACCTCTCTTACGTCTGTGCTTGTTAGGGCCGCGATCTCAATGCCAAGCCTCCACCTCCCGAGACCGTCACGCTGGGTCTCAGTCATGTGGGGGCCACATCCAGTCCACAGCGGGATCTCCAGGTAGTACGATGTGCAACACGTAAGGTGTAGAGAGGGGTGCACAGTGCTCGCTTAGAGGGCAAGCAGAGGAATTAAGTTTCTATGTGCATTTCCTTGCATCCCGACTGCAGAAAGAGCAATCGGGAAGGATTCAGAAGGAACAAATAAAACATTTCCAGAGAGAGAAGGAAGTACAACGATCAGGGACAGGCAGGGTGTGAGGCTTTCCCAATATTTATCTTGTTACAGTATTTAAATTTTGAACCATGGAAATACACTTTCTATTTAAAATAAAATTAACGAATGAAGTGCCTGTCCCTGGGATCGGGTTAGTACACCTCCAGGAACCTCTCCCACACATATTTTCCTACACTCTTCCAAAGATACCTCTGAGGACGTTGGCCGTAGTGTGAGACTGGAAAGGACTTGAATGTATAAGGAAAGTTGAGCAGTTGGGTGAGTTAAGTTACAGTCACGCAGCGAAACACTATGCAGCTGTCACAAAGACTATAAAAGCACACACTGAAATGAAAAGCTCCCTGGAGATACTTAGTAAAAAAAAAAGCAAGATAAAAACACTGCGCTGCCATTTGTGATAAACATACTGTATCCGTATGTCCTCCCCTACATAGCCTGTTTTCTTACTGAAAAAGAACACACGCAGGGCCTCTCATCTATATCTGAGTGTGTATACACATGGAAAACTTCTGGAAGTAAATACTGTGCAAAGACACTGTGCTAACTGTGGGGCCCCTGTAGGAATGTTCAGGGTAGGAAAACTTGTCTACTTTTCATTGCAATGGTTTCGAACTGGATGACTTTTATGTGGCACGTGATTTTCCTTTTTGACCAGAAACCTTTATAAATAAATAAAAACACATCTATGCAATGGAAATGATGCAGTGTAACATAAACAGAGCCTAGGACTCTCTTCGTGCATTCACACAGAATAGACTGCAAGGGTACAGCAATTTAGAGGGTGTCTTTAATTTTCACGGTTTCAAGGCGCCCAGTGCAGTGTGCTGCCTGGTTGCACACTCTCTCTGTGTCCGCCCGCTCACAGTACTTCCCATCACTTTTGGTGCTCGTACATCTCTGCCTCTCTGTCTGAGGGAGGCTGTCTTGCTTTAGTCTTGCCGTTGGTTCCAGGTGACATGGCCAGACTTCACTGGCTTATCAGTATGAACGACCCGCCTCACTCCTAGGGGCCCCAGATCCCACCTGCAAATAAAACAGACTGCCATGCAGGGATGTGGTAAGGAGTCGAGAGAACATAAACATGTTCTGTGTATCACGTGGGAGTCCAAGGTTGGCCTCAGCGTCGTGGCTGGTAACACGCCTCGTGGTGTGGCAGTCGGGGCTGCAAGCCGGAGTGACCACGTCCAGGCTTTGCACTAGGAGGGGTCAGGCTTGCTGTGTTGTGGCCGAGACTATTGCAGAAAGCACAGCACATGGCTGCTGCTTTGGCCACGGTGGCCAGATACTAGGACATCAAAGCTTCAGCTGCTAAGGACAGTTCAGAATTCCCTAGTCCGTGGGTGCAGTTTGGGCTTGCTTTGGCACCTGTCACTCTTACGAATGCTTGCTCCCATCTTTCTTGCAGCCCTGCATTTCACCCAGTGGCTTCACTCCCAGCACTACTTTTGGCCATTGTTGTGGCCCACAATCCATCGGACCTGTTTGTGTTTGAGTCTTTGTTTATGAAAAATTATCTTTCAAAACAGGAAGTGAAAATATCCACGGTTGCCTTTCTTCATCTTTACAGAGCCAAAAAGAAAAACCCCTGCCCCTCCATGTTTTCTCCGTTTTGTCTCCCAGGGCAGCTGTGGGTCAAGTGGTCGCCCTGATTATCTAGTTGGCTTTCTGCCTTGTTGCATTTATGGGGCCGTTTTTTATTGACTTTGGATTTCCCTGTAAGGTACTCCAAAAAAGCATTTAAAACAGTCTCTAGTGGGCAGTTTACATTTTAACTGCTCCTTTCATTATCCTCCTCAGCGCTCTGACATAGCTCCCTTTTCTAGAATTAAATAACCACAGGACAGCTTCGGGCTCTGTGTCTCTCCTGGATGTTGAACTTGGCCCTGCTGTGGTCTTTATTATGTAGTGTTTCAGTCAGAGTCATGATCCTTTGCACTCATCACCTCCCTCCTAGTTTTTGTTTTCCACTTACCCAGCATCTTGATAAATGAAGGACCAGAGAGTTAGGGCCATCTTGGTTTGTGTTTTCGGAGAATCTAAGCATCCCTGACATTCTGTTAAGGCATCCAGCTTATGGAGCTGTATGATATGTGAGAATGTGGGGGCCAGAGGAAAGACTGGAGGCCACTGTTTCCCAAAAGCCCCCTGGTTCCGCTGAATAAAATCTCCTTCTACCATTAATTAATCTAAGATTTAAGGCTGGAGATTTGCCTGTATCTTGGGTTTTATTTTAGACACCATAGTACTTTGGAGACCGTTTATACTAGAAATATAGACTTGGATTTTTATGGGTTTCCTTGCTTCACTTGCCCATATTGCACTGAACTCCAGAGCTGGGCTGGCCAACTCTCCATCTTTCTCTAGACTCCTCCACACCGAACACCCCTATGGGACAGGTCTGATCTCACTTGGCACTTTAAGAGCTCCATCAGTCGTGAGAATTTCTGGGGAGCTTTCTGGTAGAATACAGTTCACCACAAGTCCAGTACTTGTGCATACAGTGTTTCTAAGGCTGTAAGTCAGAGAACCCCTTACCACCTTCCCCTCTCCTTCCCCAATATGTCTCCAGTGCTCTCAAAACTGTGCTGGCACAGTACACATTAGGTTTGGTCTAGAATGGTAACCCTTTTGTTGCCTACAGTTAGGAATTTTTCTTTCTTTAGTTTCCCTATGTTTGCCTCATGCAGTCATAGGTGGAGCTTTTTTAGAGGTAGCTGGATCTAGACTGCATGATGCTGGAATTGATTCATGGTGTAATGCTAGGGTAAAGGGCACTAGGATTAAGGGTGGGAGTGCTACCCCCCCAAGTAGTCTGGTTGAGATATAAGGGAGAGAAAGAGCTGTGGTCCACCCTTGCTGCTTTGCTGCCTTCTACCTACCATGAACTGTTTCTCCTCTGTGATGCCTGTCTGCCACGCCACCCTGCCTTGGACCAAGCCCATTATGGACTGAAACATCGACAAACTGTGAGCTAAATAAAACTCCCTTTAACTTGTGGGTATTGGGTATTTTGTCTCAGCAACGGGAGAGAAGTAACTAAGACAGGTAGGAACCAGGGGCTCTTTCCTGGAAGCCCTTGGGTGATCTGCCCACACAGCACTGGGCAGGATTTGGCCAGGCTCCCTGAAACCGAGCATAGACCATTTGTGACTTCCCATAGAACCGGGAGTAGAGTCATTGTCTTCTGAGTGAAAGGAGGGTTGCAGTGCAGGGGACTGGCTGGGACAGTGGGGAGGAAGAGAATTGTCTCCTGACTGCAGCAGAGCTCTGCAGAGAACAAGGGGCACTGGGATGGTGAGCGGCTGTCATCCTGAGCTCCAGCCTGCCCTCCCACGGGGACCTTTCCTCTCTTCCCGTTCTGAGGACATGCTTGGAGCGTGTGAGGACCCAGGAGGGTCAGCAGCATCCGTGCTCATGGATGGATCAGTCTCATGTTAAATCAGCTTCAGTGAAATTTAAGGGCCTTCAGTCAGGATGGGAATTTAGGGCCCTGAGTGCCATACCTCAGGGTATGCTGTATGTCACACCTGGGCTGTCACCTTTGGCCTGCACTCAGGGGTGACAATATAGACAAGAACTGAGAGGCAGCAGGGGTGTCCATAATGTGTCCCCTAACCCAGGTACTACGGAAGGAAGTTTTGGCCTTGCTTAAAAATTAGTGGTGTTTGGATGGTTGGTTCCCAAGCCTTTTTCCTTTTCCTTTCTTTTCCCTGCTTTTTTATTTTTAAGAAGAATACACATATTTTAAAATAGCAAAATAATAAACTTTACTTAGGAAAAAGTATTACAGATTTGTCATTTAAAACACCAGCCTGGGCTACATAGTGAGTTCCAGGTCAGTCTCAATGGCATAGTGAGATCCTGTCTCAAAAATAAAATAAACAAACAAACAAACAAACAAAAAAACAGCATAGGAAAGGAGCTGGGGATTTAGCTCAGGGGTTCTACTGCCTGCCTCACAAGTACAAGGTCCTGAGTTTGATCCCTGGTACCAAAAACAAAAGCAAATAAAAAACAGCACAGGAAATCCCCACTTTAAATAAGAAGGCTGATGGTCAGGTTTGTAATATTTGAAAATAAACCAACTTTATTTGAAATCAGTTCATTCTGATCAAGACCAGGAAACAAATTTATAATTGCTCCAGAGTCATGAGGAAAGCACTCAGCTCTATCTTCATTAAAAGGCATTTTATATTCATTAAGGCTGGAAAGCAAGGCCTGTTATTTTATCACCACAGTTACAGGTCTCAGGGAAATCTAGTAACCATCATTCGGAGTGTATTTATTAAATGAATGCTTGTTCTTTTACAAAAGCTAGGCATCTCTTACTAAATCAGTTAACTCCTCAGCTTAGAAAATGGTACAACTAAGAGGCCAGGAAAAAAAAGGCAAATTCAAACATCAGCGGGATAATTTATATTTTAAATATATGCATAGTTAATATTGTGAAACCTCTAACTATATACAAAATGCCTTAGACGAATTAGATCTTTAAAACTGTGTTTTGCCAAAAATCAGATTGCATTAATAGAAATACAAGTTAGCCCAAACCTTCCACAGAGGCAATATTTCATTTACTTTTGGTTAGCACAGGGAATCAAATCTATTTCTTTAAAGAACATTAAATAAGATTATGGGCAGTTTGGGTCATATCGGATTAAGAGACTTGAGTCTCTGCAGCTAGGCTGGGGAGGGATACAGGGAAGGGAAAAGAGTGGTATTCGTGAGGGGACATGGACTGTGTGGTCTGAACAGGGGACAGCAGCAGATGCAAGGCCCGGGCCTGGGTGCAGAGGGGCTGGTGTCAGAACCGACTGGGTATTCATGCCTACATTCCCTTCTCTAATGGTTTCTTAAACTTCTTAATGTCATAAAGGACCTAAGAAAGTGACCCCCTGAGAACACTGAGCTTAGTTTTTAACCATGGGTTTCCAAGGAACAACACCAGCATTTTGTTGAGCTGGCCCCTGGCCCCTGAGGGTGGAGGTGAACACAGATGCAGCTACTGCAAGCCTGTTACTTCTAGACCCTTGGACAGACTGCCATAGTGATGATAAACTTGCTCCAGAGAGACCTTCCTGTCTCTGCCTCCTTCCCAATTCTGTGTGTAGGCCTTGCTGACTCGTGGAGCTCTTAGACCACCTGGGTCTGCTCCTTCTTGTGACTGCCCTAAGATGCTTGGTATTGTCAACTGCAGTGTGACCACTGAGTAGCACAGGCGCAATGAAGGGCTCCCTTGCTCCATCAGAGAATGGCCAGAAGACACTTCTGGTGTTGCAAGAAGATCAAGCCCCGCTCCTCTCTGGCACCAGCAGCTTGAGGAGGGAGGAGGTGGCCTTTCCTGGGAAGCTGAACTTGAGATCCTGTGGCCAAGCATCTGCCCCGTTTTTGCTGCTTTGCCTGCCACCAGGCGGCTAGAAGAGATTCGTACTCCTGTCTGTGATTCCAAATTCATCGGCATTTGCCTTCCTTTGTCAGGAGATAAAGGAACTGTGCTCTGGTTCAGTCAGGATTATATTGATCCAGCTCATCTTGCAGAGTTATTAAAACTGAATCCAACACTCCTCTCAGCCACATGCAGAGATAAGCTGTCCTGAGCAGGGGTGAATTCAACTCTGTAAGGCTGAGTTTGACTCTAGTTCTCAGCCTCTGCTCTGCCCCTCCGCCCAAAATGGAGATGTGAAAGCCAAAGGAGAGAAAAATACAAAAGAAAATACGACCTCAACACAAATGACGCCCTCTCTGAGCTGCCTAATGTATTCTCCGGGACCGATTATAGATTGTCTCCCCTGGGACTCTGAGCTGCAGAGTCCTTGGGACAAAAAGGGTCACACAGCATGGAGGATGCCATGGGGCAAGATTAAGGCCAGTGCCCAGAAGGGCCTGAGGGTTTGGACAAAAAAATCAGAAGGTGATATTACTAATAGTATTGTTATTTTACTTAGTGTGATGACATCAGGACTCTAATCTACAGTCAGTTAGTTGTATTATATACCTTACAGCTGAAACGAAAAGACATTTCTGAATCAAGCGTCTTCTCTCCATAACACCTGCCTGCCTTCAGAAGACTCATAGTGGCTCTATCATACCCCCTACTGTGCCTAATACTGCTGTTTCCGTGAGCTAACTCAGTCCCAGGAGGAGCGCCCAGGGACAACATTGACTTGGTTTGGCTCATTTGTTTCTAGACTTCATAGGTTCCAGGTATCGGGTCAGTCCCCAGGACCCAGCCACTTGGAAGTCATCTCACCACACTGCGGGTTCCGGGGAGGCTCGAGGATGCTAGGAACTCACTCTACTGAGAAGGCCTTCAGGATCCTTGTGCTCTTATCTCCAAGGCTGGTGTGGGATTTCTCTCTGCAGTGCCCAGGACAGCTGCCACCTACTTCCTTTTAGACGTCGTCGTCATGGGTGCAGAAGGCTTCTCTGGTGGGGGACAGGAATGTCCAGCTGACGGCATCCTCTTCTTCATGGGGGGCAGGAATATATCCCCCCACCCCACTCCCTGCCCCAGGTTTCATCGTGGGTCACTTTTTCTGTGGAGATTCCTGGGGTCAGTGCGTCAGATGAGTGTGTGGGTTGGGATTCATTGCTGTTTCTGTGTAAAGGACCTGGCCATCCTGTTCTCCCCAGCAGGGTGCTTTCCCTTGGGTCAGGAGGATCCTCGCCCTCCTCTCGGAGCACAGAGGGAGGGAGGGGTTGGGGAGGTTTCTTCACAGAGTTCCCCCAAGAGGAGCTGAGACTTAGTCCCTTTCTCTCTGTTTCCTCTGTGCAGGAGGAAGGCCAGGAGGTGACAGGCAGGGGAAAGGACTACGGAGGACAATGAGCAGGAACACCGCTGCCCTCTGTCATCTAGCAGTCTGGAAAGTTAATCCAGATGGGGACCTGTGTTTCTTCCAGTTCACACCCTATGGTTTCTGGGTCAGGATGGCCCATGACTTTCTGCAAAGATGTCCCACCACCATTCCACCTCTTCCATGGGCTGCCAGGGAACCTTGGGAGCACCAGCCCGCAGACCCATGGCCACGGGCAGCTCAGAGAGACCAGAAAGACATTTTTGGCCAGGTTTGGGGTGTTCACTATGAGGTTGGTAGTTAGTGACATCAGCAGTCCAAGGCTTAGATCGTGAGAGAGGAGCCAGTCTGACAATGACCAGGGGCACCGAGCCTCATAAAGAACTCCTTGGTCCACACCCATGCCCCCTCCACCCCACCCCTTCCTCACAGACCGGAAGCCACTTGGTGACCTGCAGTCAAGCCAGGCATGCGATCTCACCACACACCACTGCCGAATGTGCAAACCCATGACTATAGACCCCTGGGGCCTTTTGGCACCAACAGTGCTCCCCCTCCTCCCCTATGCCAGTCACCCAGTTTGGAACTGCACACCAGCTTCCTTCCTGATGCCTCGACAGGCGAAGGCCATGGTCGGCCGAGGGCGTGGATTGCCAGTATGTCTGGAGGGAGTTTGCAGTCCGGTCTTGGAGCAGCTGACAGCAAATATGTCCCCAGATGCCCAAAGCCAGGCCGGCTGGGGCCTCCCGGACCTTCTACCTTCCCTAGCAAGGGGCAGACTCACTCTAACTAGAGCAGCGTGGGTCCTTGGCCTTGCACGTCCGATATGGAGGAGCCGGTCTTGCACTTGCTGAAGCATCTGAGAGATGTTAGGACGTTGGTAGACCCCAGACCGACCCCAGATCCACTGGCCCAGACTCCGCTGGCAGGTGAGAGGCAGCTGTTTCTGTCCTCCCTGTCCACCAGCTTCATGGGCATCCAGACAGGGGACGCAGCCAACCTTCGAAGCTAGCAAGCAGTAGTTCCTGGGAGCCAGCAAGGGCGGCCTGATGAAGAGGTTCCAGAGGCAGCGAGGAAAAGGAATCTGTGGAGCCTGTGAAGCCGGTGCCCTGGGGGAGCAGCGTCCTCTGCAGCAGGCGGGCAGGGCGCTGCTCAGGACCGGCTGAGGCGCTTGGCGACGTCGGCGTAGGCCAGCTCGATCTCACTGTCTGCTGCGCAGGTATTGGTGAACTCGTCCCGGGCGTAAGCGTTTTTGAGGTACCGCCACAGGCCTGTCATCTCAGCGGGGAAGTCGTAGTTGCGGTATTTCTTGGCCACGATCTAAACAGAGAGATGAGACAGAGACAGGTAAAGGAGGAGGGACATCCTCAGGCGGTGTCCAGGGGCTGGCCCAGGGCGTGGGCACGGCCGGAGGACCCTGGCTGTGCCCCAAATGTTTGCAGTGTGGGGGCGGGGCTGTCTCCATGTTCTATTTGATATTTCCTGCGTCGATTTTATTTGTCCTTCAGGCTCCCGACCTGGGGATTTTTCCTTAGGAGATAGTCATGGACGCGGACAAAGGTTTAGCTACACTGTTAGGATCAAGGTATCCTGAATAGCAAAAAACGGTACAATACCAATGGCCAGGGATACATGAGTGGGTGGATAAATGCTAAGAACAATGGCACCTGCAGAGCTGTTGAAAGTGATCCTGCCCAGGAAGATCCAGTGGTCTAGAGAGCTCAAGACAGACTGTTACACTGAGCCTATTATATAGCGCTTTTATAGCCACAATTCTATTACGAGGGGCAGTGGCTGCCTTGAAGGTGAAACTGTGGCCGTTCCCATTCTTTTCTGCACAGGGCTTTCTTATAAGAAATCCTCTCAGGGCTGGGGGTTTAGCTCAGTGTTTCTGCTGCCTGCCTCACAAGCTCAAGGTCCGGAGTTCAATCCCCCATACCAAATAATAATAATAATAATAATTAATCATAATAATAAATCCCCTGGGCTGGGGATTTAGCTCAATTGCACCGCACCTGCCTCACAAGAGCAAGGTCCTGAGTTCGATCCCTGGTACTGGAAAAAAATAAAAAATAAAAAGAAACTCCCTCAGTTACAATGACGAGCTTGGATGGCCCCCAGGGAGCCCCCTGCAATATCTAGTGTCCAGTGTAGAGGAGGCCAGTGACCAAAGGTGACAGAACCAGAGTTCTGTGATGAGGGTGGGAGGGAATGGAAGTCACCCCCATGCCAGGCCCACAGCCCCCCTCAGTTCCCTGTGGGATGCCGCTGCCCCGGTCTGCCCATGCCTTTGAGAGGCATCTGCTTTCCCTCTAGGGCAAACCCGTGGGGAAGATGTCGTCCCGGCATGCAAGAGCCAGCTATGGAAGGGGCCCTGGAAAACGAGCCGTCCAGTCACACGTTCTTCATGGGTCGATGGCGCAGCCTGAAATGTGTCCGTGTGGGGATTTTATTTTCAGGGCTTTTTTATTTTTCCAGTTCTGGGGATCGAACCCAGGGTCCTGTGCGTGCTGGGAGAATGCCCAAGTTCTCAAAGGACAAACCGTAGCTTGAGAAGTGAGGAAGGAGATGAAGGCATCTGTTTGGGTTTGGGTTTGGGTCTCTCTCCCTAGTTGTTTCAGGGGGACACGGTCACTGTGCTGGGCCAGGCCAGGCCAGGAGACTCCCTCCTTGCCACGCTGGATACCTGCTGCCTTCTGGAACAGAAGGGATACCTGGCCACTCAGGTCCTTGGCCAGGGCCAGGCCACACGCAGCTGTGACGCGCAGCAGGGACGTCCATGCTCACATGAGCTTTCATAGGAAAACAGCTCCCACAGCCCAGATTAAGTTTTGGCATCTGAGGCCAAACTGGAGGCCGTGCAGCTCCCCTTCTGCTCTTGAGCACCCAGAGAAGTTTGCCAGGCCCCGGATCTGATAAGTGGAATCAGAAGGAGAAACAGAAGGAGACAGCGGCAGGGCCCAGCGCCCTTCCTCCCAGCCATCCTCGTCCCGTCTCCCAGCTCCAGGGAGCAGTCCGCTGAAGTCCTCCAAGGACAGCATTCACTTGGCCATTTGCAGCTGGAAGGAGCCAGAGGAATCACAGGCTGGCGCACCCGGCTGGGAGAGCCTTTTGTTTGCCTGATTCAAGCAATGATTCTTAAGTGTGTGGTTAGTATGTATCGAAGCTCGGGAGGAGGAAGAGGAGAAAGGAAGAGGAGAGATGGACTCTGCGCTCTTCCTTCCAGTGTGGGAAAAGTGACATCCCTGGGGTACAACGTGTCCCCCGCAGAAGGGAGAAGAAAGCACACTCTGGGGAGTGAGGCACGCACTGGTGAATAACCCCACAGTGACCTCACTTGGCTTCTCCTGCAAGCGACCACTGGCTTGGCTCTGAGCCCAAAGAGTCCTCCTAGTAATGATTGTGTTTGCTCAACCGTGAGTTCCTGTCTCTGATCGAGGCCAGAAACACCAGTGGCATACCCGGCTGTGTGATATCCGCCAAGCTGGGGTGGGCTCTGAGCGGGAGAGAATCTACATTTGCAGCTCAGGACTATGGTTGGGGAATGGTAGGCACAAACCCCACCCATGGGTAGTGAGGTCTAGTTCTTCTCGGTGAAGGGTAGAAAGAAACTGGGGATAGTAGCATCAGAGAAGGCTGTGGCAGGCGTGCTCCTTTGGAGGCTTTGGCCACAACTTCTTCAGAGACGCGAAGGAGGGTAAGTGTCCTGTGTTGCTCTTAAGGATGGAGGGCAGCAGGGAATACACGTGGGACGCCCACAGGGAAAGGTGACTGCAGCAATCAGAGCTGTGCCAAATGGTAAGGCTAGCAGGGGATTTAGTTCAGTGGTTCCGGCGACTGCTTCTCAAGCGAAAGGGCCTGAGTTCGATCCCCGGTACAAAAACAAAAACAAACAAACAAAAAAACCCAAAACAAGTGATAAGGCCAGGTCATTCAGCACAGGGTCCCCAGCACCAAGAAACATGCCACCGCAGCAGGAAGCTGACCAGTTTGGATCTGGGGACTGATTTGAAATTCCCTTCTTTCTGACTCTCAGATTGCTGCATCACTAATGGTCTGCAGGGGTCCCCATCCCTTGCTCCTGCAGCCTCCATCGGTGCAGCCGAGTGTGAGGAAGAGGATGGTGTCTCCCAGGGAGCCACTACAGGGTCTGTGCACCAAGGACACGGATGGGAGCGTGGGGCTGCACCAATGGATATGTGGGCTATGGCAGGTGCAGCTCCAGGAAGGGGCCGCTGGGGTTCTCTGACTGCACCCAGTGCGCACTCCTATATTCGGAGCCCCTGCAATATCCACATCACCTCTTTTTCTATGCAACTCTAGAATGAGCCATATCCACACCTTTAATAAACACTGACAAGCTCAGAGAGGCCGACAGCCAGTGAGCAGGGGCTCCCAGCGCTGGACCACATGTGGCACTACCCCGAATCACCCCCGTGGCCCGAGCTCTCTTACCTTGACCACATGCAGCTTGGGCAGCAGGTTGCAGTCTGCCAGGGTCAGCTCATCTCCATCCAGGAACTTGCGCCGGGACCCCCTGTTGCTGTCCCCGCATGTGTCGGTGTTGATCTCCTCGGGCAGGGGGTTGCTCAGGTAGTCATCCAGCTTCCTCAGGGTCTTGGTCAGGCCCCGCTCTAGGGCTGATGGGCAGAGCAAAGGAAGGGAACTTAGTCTACTCTCTCAGTCCTGCACTGGGACACAGGGACCCCAGAGAAGGGCAGCTAATCTGGCTTCTTGCCCTCCAGCCTCTGCCAGCTCACCACCCATGCAGGACATCTGGGAGCCATCCAGGGGGACCGCACGAGGTGTCCTATTGCCAGGACATGCTAACCAGAGCATGTGATGAGCACACACCAGGCCTGGAACACAACAGAAGCGCAGCCCTTGAGATTCCTACCACAAGTTTATAGTGCTTACTGTGTGCAGGTGCTAGCATGCTCAACTTTTACATTAGTTGGCCTTTCTCCATTTTATACATATTCTACAGTAAGCCCGCATGTTAATTGTGTAGAGAGAAAGGTGATTAAACAATAGAAATGTCTAGAAGTCCTGGAACAGAGACAGGACCTGATCCTGGGGAAGCAGTCACTGTGGCTAACTCAACACCGGAGGGGCAGGGGACACCTCCAGTAGGCGGAGCAAAGGCAGCCCTCAGAAAAGCCGTGGGTGCCCACCTGGGAGGCAGCCCGCAGCTTACTCTAGGGCCCATTGCTGCAACTCAGGGGTGTCCCCCAGGTTAGGGCCAGTGCCGCAGGCAGCGGTGTCACTGTAAGTGCGCAATCCCAGCTGCTCAGAGCCTTGCTGGGGACGGAGCCCAAAGAATGAACGCCCACGGAAGACGGGGTGGCAGGAGACTGTCACTGTCTTGCCCCCATGTGTACCTATCGAACAATTCACTTAAATACGGGAGCTGAACAAAGCCACCAGAGGACAGCGTGGGACATCACCACCAGCCCGAGTCCTTGCACCAGGAACCACAGAGTCCATTCCAATCACCAGACTCTGTCCTAGAACCCTCCCATCCTGGCACAGGGTGCAGCTGGGTCCCAAGCCACTGCACCTCTGGCACCAGCCTCGTCCCCGAGAGAGCTGTGTCCCCAGGCTCTGGTGGAGCTCAACATCAGTGCCGGGGCACAGGCCAGGCACGGCGCAGGGGCGTCACCCTCAGAAGCAGAAGCCAGGCAGTGAGAGAACTGCAGCGTGGCTCACGTCCCCCAAGAGGTGCCCTCCCAGCCACTTCTCACAGCCGCGCCTGCCTTTCAGCAGACGCCTCCTCTTGATAGAGACAATGGAACAACCCCAGCCCAAGATGAATCAATTGAACCCTTACTGGAACATCTCCAGCCGGCTGGAGGCGGGGCATGGTTTCTCAATGCTCCCTTCTCCCTGGGGTGGCATTGACCGTGCGTGGCCTCATCTGCTTCGTGTTTCCAGTCTGGGGGAACCGAGTGAGCTGCCTTGGAAAATGCTGTGTGCGCTTAGTGGTCGTCTAGACTGCGATAGAATCAGTAGGCGCTCGCGCGAGGGTGGGAACCAGGCGAGACAATATGCATTGTGCGTCTCCCCGAAGCTCTGGGGGCTTGCACTGGACTTGTTTGTTACTCAAATCCTCTACTCTTTCCAGTTACAAAGACAATAGCAAAGTCCTGATTATAAAAGGAAAGAGAAAAATTAAATTAAAGAGAGGGCCTGTTGAATTTGGCCAACTGACCCCATCCTGGGGATGTGAAGAGAGGGGAAGGAAAAGAAGACATTGCAAGTTCTAACTCCAGACGTCCCTGGACCACCTGAGCAGCCACAGCACTTGTCTCTGCCCATGAAACTTGGCGACAGAGCCTAAAACCATGACCGGAGTTGTGGCTCATTCTGGAACCCATCTTACTGCCCTCTCTGGTGGTCCCTGGAGGCGGAAGGGGGCCTCACTTGGGGATGGGCACAGTTGCTGCTGTGGGGCTCATGCCTTGTGATGTACCAAGTTGGTGTCCTGTGTCCTCCTTGCACAAGTGTAATTTTGTCTGGCATGTGAAGGTTGGGGCTGGTGGTGACCACAGTAGAAAGAAGCGGGGCTGAGGCAGCGGGAAGGGGCCGTGGGCCCAGAGCTTGCCTGGGCTTAGATTCTGAGGGGACTCACTGTGACGGTGCCAGGTGTCAGTGTGAAGGTCCCTGCATTGCACGGGGCCCTTCCAAGGCCTTGGACCTGAATTTTTAAATCCCTTATTTGTGCTTATTACGTTGGCCTCACCAGTCCTGCCAGTCCTGACACCGAGGGTGACCGCTGTTAAGCTCCTCAATTCACTGAGCTTCTCTTCTCTCCCTGCGATAGGAAATTAAGATCTCTAAACCCTCATTCAGCCTCCTTGAGGATTAACTCTGATGACGCAGGGTGAGTGACTGACACGGGGCCCCTCCTGTCCCAGGACACCGTTGATGGTGTCATCGCTCTTGCATTCCCCAAAGCGCCATCACCCTGCTCTCTGCCCAACTCCTGGTCAGTGTGTTCCTGAAACTTCCCAGGGGTGACAGAGAATGGCACTAGCTCAGAGGGGGAACAACCATGTCCTGAAGCATTGCTCCCTTTCCTTGTTTAACGTACACCCATTACCCTGTCCCTCAAGGTCCCCTGGTTGCCTTCTCAGTGAAAAGCTGCATTGACAGCCACTCCATGACCGCGTGCCAAAACACGGCCAAGACACTGCCACCCAATGACACAGGGCAGCACCCATACATTTTCTGCCAGCTCCCCCCACCACCTGCTCACTCATCCCTTGGTGCTGGGCTCAGGCTGGGAGTCTTGACGAATGATCTGTTTGGCCCTGGTCAGGAAATTTCACGTTGACCTTTCTGCTCTGGAAGGAGTGAGGCAGAGGTGAAAGAAACTAGAGGGACCAGGAGATGCTAATTCCTTTCCTGTTTGTATTTGAAGCTCTCCCTCCAAAAGACATCCCCAGGCAAACACAGACCACATCGAGAGAGCTGGGCAGGCACCCCAAGACCCAGGGTCCTTCCATCCCGGGGCTTGACGATGCACAGTCCCTTAGCTGCTTTCTTCCTACTCTGAGTCTGCTCCCCATCAAGATTTAGTCTGTACCACACACAAACGCGCCGGGTAAAATATGCGATGAGGAAACAGGGGGAATAGTTCATAAATATTCTCAGCCATATGCAAACAATCTCAAATTTATTTTTCTCTTTTTTTTTAAGGAGGAAAAAAAAAATCCACCCATTCCATGATCACTTCCAGATTCATTGAGGTTGATATTACATAAGACCTAATATTGTTTTCTCGTCGCAGAGAAATAATGACTTGGAAACGGCAATTTGAGCTAGGAAAATAATATAGTCTTACCAGGGAATGGAGGCTGTGTGGGGACCGGGGAGCCAAGATGCTAAGCTGGCCTCCAACAAGGTCCTGCCAGCAGGCACGGTGCCTGGGTTGGCTGGCAGCTGGGTGCAGCACCAGAAACACAAGGTCACCAGGACCCCAGGGGCTCAAAGCCTGCATGGTGAGGGACAGATGTCACAGGGTTGTGGGTTACTGCATGGCTTCTCTGTAGGAGCCAAAGCTCACCTCTGACCTCTCTGCAGCAGGACGAGTGTCTGTTCCACTGTCCCCCTAAGGGAAAGGTCCCCGTCACCACTGAGACAACCCCCCCATCCTGTGTCTGTCATGGCTCCTGCCAGCCTCCTTCCCCAGCACTTGCTGAATCTCAGAGGGGACCCTGGGAGTGGGTAGCTGCTCAGATGGGAGCTGTGACAGCCTCCTTGAGCAGGAGGAGAAACCAAGTCTCCAACTACCCAGGGAACACTCCCTTGTGCAAGCATACACCCAGCTGGGCCCTTAAACACCAAACTACTCCCGGGTGTCCAGTGGAAATGTGCCCTATTCAGTCTTCAGCTTCCTCCTTCCAGGCTCCCGTGCCCTGCACGGTAGGGAACAACAGCTTTCATTCAGTGAGTTCTGGACGGTAACCCAGTCTGATGTCATAATCCAAACAGTCCCTCCGTGGTGCTCTCCATCTATTTTGCATAAAAGTGCTGAGTTTTGCAGCAACCTGCCTGTCCCTGCTCTTTCCACTTCGTCGCTGGGGTGGGGTGGGGACAGAGTTGCTGTGACTTGGTGCACTGGGGAAGTGAGGGTGCTGCAGTCCATGAGCTGGGAGGCCCTGGGAGCCCGGATTCCTTGCAGTAGGAAGGGGATGTTGGCCCCCTCCAAGCCCTGGAAAAATACCCAAGCAAAGCAGGGCACGGGGTTCCCAGCCCCTCTCCTGTCATCTCTCCCCAAGTCCCCTGAGCGGAAAGGGTGGCTTCCCTATGCCAGGCCGCCCACAAAGCCCAGAGCCCCAGCCTCCTGGCTGGGGACACAGGCAGTGTGCTCGGTTCTCGGAACACTGAGTCCTGAGCAGGGACCCTCGATGGATGAAGAGAGGCAGATCCAAGGATTTAGGAAATCCCGACAGTAGCTACTCTCCGGTTGGAAATACAAGCTGGTCTGTCAAAAGCTGAAGAGTGAATGGCCTTTCTCTATCCCGATCCCATCTATACTCTGAAGCGCAAGTCCACCCGTAGCTGATAGATGGCCGGGATGATGTAGAATCCATACTTAGGTGAAGAGAAACATGCTTTCAAAATGTTAGTCCCGTTCTGTGAGTCTGGAACAATACTAGGATTGAAAGGCAGGGCTGCCGAATTCCCAAATTTACGCTTCTACTCCATGAGAGACCACTTCTGGGTGCCAAGGGACGTCCTACCGTTCCTTGGTGTCCCCATGCCAGACATGCACTGTCCTTGTACACCTCACTTCCCTGGGGACAGAGGTCAGCGCCCCCCTGTGATCTGCTTCCCAGCTAATTTGATAGCATATTTGCTTTTAGCTATGAACACTTGACTTGAGACAGAATTCTTGGAACTGTCGGTGACAAGCTTGAGTCTAGAAGGGGCTCTCTCCGAGTGGAGGGACTGCCTGGGCCTGCACGTGGCTTCTCAGCAGCAAGTGCTAACTCTGCCCATGCCTGGGGCGGCTGCTGCCACCGGTGTGTGACACCGTGGGACAAAAAGTAAGAGATCCACGTGGATTTTGCCTAGGATGAAGGAAACAACTTCTGAGACACCTGGAGCATGACCTGAGATTTCTGCTTTGCAG